ATAAACTTATTTTAAACCACAAATAACAATTAACAAATGTGGTCTCTTCCCTATCAAACTTGTCTAACATGGACAATTGAATTAAAATACTAAAAAAATTATTGCACATACAACTTGCAATATTACAGATTTTTTACAACAAAAAAGTAGCTTGGTTAAAGAAAACATACCTATTGAGAAATGTATTGCAAAATGGGGAAGGTGAGTAGCTAATGTAGCAACATCTGAATTCAATATGCTACATGATTGTGGTGGAACAAAACCTATAAGTAAATGAAGTGAATTTGAATAAATGGAGGGTTACTATGCTAACGGCCAAGAAACCAGACTTCTCTACTAATTAACATTAATTGTGTCTTAACATCTATATATCATAACTTTGCAAATAACTGATAAAAAAGGATTTAAGAAATTAAAAGACTTAGATGTTAATACAATTAAATGATTAGAAGGGCTTTTATGTAATTTCACTAAAACACAAACTGAATCCAGTTGTACCCAATGTTCAATCGGATATCAAACACTGTCACATATCAAACTTATCCCTAACTTTAAATGTCTAAAAGGACATCTAAGTAATTACAACAAAACTAAATTAGTTATAATAACTCATATTCAATATTCTAATTGCACTTCAAACACTCTTATATTTCTAAAAGAGCCCCATCCTTGCTCTTGAAATTCAAAGACCAACTCATTCTTATATAGTATAAGGATATCTCCAAGTTTTAAGTTTCAACCTTCAAGTGTGACTTCTTGACATGCATTTCACCTATAGTGTAGAGAACGCATTGATTATCCCGGGATCCACTTAGAAGTCTAATACGTTGTCTCGGCCCCATATGGGCTGACAATCGATTCTGCTTCGGTTGTAACAATGCAAACACACTAGTATTTCGAGAGGCCAAATCTGTTTATCACATTTCATGTGATTTGATATCTATGTTGCCACAGAGTGACACGAAGTGTAAGGTAGTCTAGGGGAAAAGAGTCGTCTTGCTATCGATGCTAAGTTATTATCCTAGGCTAGTTATATTCTACGGTGGAAAACGCTTGAACTAAACAAAGTTCTTTCATTCAATTAATACGTCATCCAACCAATTTAGATGATGAATCCCATGAAATGATTACTAGAACTAGAATGATCATAGAACCGTCGTAGATTCAGAGTGCCAAATAGAACCTTGCTCTTGGCATTCTTCACAATTTTTTCCTTTTCTATTTTTTTTTGTTATATTTGGTAATTATCTACAATTTTTGTGTATTTTTTTTAGGAGAAAGATATATCATGAGATGATTTCACCAAGATAATTCTAGATAGGCATTCTTCTGTCCCTTATTCTCTCTACCCTTTTGTAATCACTTTATTAAATTTAACTGAAGGATCCAGTAGATGATGATGTCTTTTGATAACCAACATTATGTCAAATATGCGTCACACCCAAGCCATGGTGTAATCGGAAAGTCACATAACAAAATCAAACACGCCTAGCTTCAAGGACTTTCAATTTTTGACTAAAGAAATTTTTGTTTCTACAATTACGCTTTTTTTTATCAAATGTTTCCTGTTTGTGATATTTTTTTATTTATCATAACGATGACATTTATATAATCTAATCTATTCTAATTTAGGAAGAAAAGAAAGTCGATGATAGTTGAATCACCATCAATAAAAGTCTCTAAAAACGGTCATATATAGTGAAAAATTAGTGAGAGGTAAGTCCACCCCCAATACTTAATTTTTTGGTGGTGACCACCAGCCAACTCGTTAAATGGTATTATTGTTCATTATTCTGTTCAACTGATTAAATGGTGCCCCGGAAGGACAACTTCTCACTCTTGGCTAGCTAATTTTCTTTTTTCTTTTTCTTTTTTGAAAGATGGCTAGCTACTTTTAAAGTTACTGTGATTTGTGAAAGATTACATGCAACATAAAGTTCCGAAGGAGAAACTATGACATGGAGACGTGTGATTACTGATTATAAGACCATGATCTAACGTTTGGAAGAGGTGAACTTGGAATCTTCTAATGCATGAACTCAAAACCAACGGTCCAGTAAAATATCGTCTCAATCTCCGACCCCAAATTGCTTTAGATTTTATATAGAAAATTTTAAAAAGAAAAAAAATTTAGTATTAACTATTAAGTGCAGGGAAAGATTAAGCTCATTAATTACCGTCACGAACAAGTACAAGCTGGAAAAAATTATAACTAGTTGAAGAAAAAAAAAAGAAAAATTATAACTGGTTGCAAGACTCGAGTAAAGATTCACGAGTCAATGCTCATTCTTTGATTCTTGTCAACATCTATATTTATTCAGTTTTCATTTCTTCTAATATAGAAAAATATATGCAATTTGGATTAATTTATGGAGTGTTCGAATTGAACCACATTTGTTGATTCAATAAAGATCAAGAAAATCCTTCTATGTTTCATATTGCAAATTAGTTAAACCTGTTTCTCTACATATCTATCAAAAGATCATACTATTGTCAATAGGGTTGTAATCAAACTGATCTGCTTGCAGATCAGTTAAAAACTTGACTCGAACTCGGGTTGATCGAGTTCAAGTCGAGATCGAGTGCCTTGAACTCAATAAGTCGAGTAAGTCAAACTCGAATATCCAGAAGCAATACTTGAAAGCGGGTCGACCCTTATCGAACTTTTTAATTTTAATTCTTTAATATATTATTATATAAAATTACCCTTATACTCAAAATAGTGGTTGAATTTACGAAATGTTTCAGGTCATATCAAAATTTTTAAAGGGCAATAATGTTTTTTCGTTAAAAAATTGTCAAGAAAATGAAATTTTCTAACTTGAGCTCAATAAGGTTCGCATTGACTTGAACCCATGCGAATTGAGCTCGAGTTCTGTGAGCAAAGCATCGAGTTCCAACTCGAGTCTAATAATACTACTCGCTCGAGTTCGAGTATCTTTCTTGCATGTCGAGTCAAACTCGTGTATGATAATATTCGAGTTCGACTCAACTCGACTTAATTATATCCCTAGTTTTCAGGATGAAAATTTTGAGAATTTGAGATAATATCGGACACAAGCGAGGAGACTTTGAGGACTGATTTTCTATTGAATTCCTATATAGAGTCTCTTTTTTTGCCTTGGGCTGGGATCTTTTTTGAGAATTGTTTTCTTTTTTGCCTCCATGCTTCAATCCCAACAAAATGTAGGTGTTTTACCACCAACTTTGTCTCCATCACCTCCGCTGTCTCCACCACCACTATTACTTACCTCCATCTCCATCCCTACCACTATTGTCACCTCCATCTCTATCCTTATCACAACCATTGCGCCCATCTCCACCGCTTCCATGTCAAATACTCAAAATCTCCAACACCTTATTCACACCCGTCTCTAACACTGTGAGGAGGACTTGTCTAGCTCCTCCAACTTGTCTATATCTGTGAGACATATATAAATTCTCCTAGGGGTATAATTTTCACGCTAAATGTTTTTTTTTTCATAATGCAGATTTATAAAACAAGCAAATGAAAATTTGCCTAATTACAAGTAACATGACGATAAAAGTTTGGGTAGCAATTGGATGGGTTGGGTTGTTTATTTGTGTATGACAATTGGGCTATGACCCAACTAGGTCAAAATTTTAGTGGGTCGAATTTGGGTTCAGTCAAACCAATAAAACACAAAATCACCAAAACCAGAAATTGATGGGGATAAAGTGCAATATGCGGATAAACCCCAACCGCTCCAATTCACAGCAGTTGACAATCTTACTAATTACGTGATATTCCTAGCCTCGATTTTTTTTTTTTTTTTTTTTTTGTGGGCAAGCTCCTAGCCTCAAATTAAAAGCGTAATTTTCTCTTTATTGCGTTTTCCAAATTGGTGTCGTTTTCAAAAAATTAGTACATAATTTTATTCTTTTGCCACTCCTATTCCTTGTCCTTTTTAGAAAGATAATATACACCCTTCAAATTTCTTAATGTGGAGGGTGAAGTTTGAAAAACTCCGTCTAAGTATCACCACTAGACCATTATTGTTAAAATGTTGAGTTGCATGAAAAATGACAAATATTTGGGATGGAGGGATTGATTAATAAAGTAAACATAGGAAATACAAAAACAGAAAGCAAGAAAGAAGTGCAAAGAAAATTCCTAATGGTAGCTTTCTGCACCAATCATATGTGTGTGTATATATATATATTCTTTATTACTCGTCAGATGTTACAAATTTCATTCCATAAAGTATACATTAGTATTTTGGGAGTTCACAAACAGTGTCACATTTTTAATGTTACACTTCTTTACATTACGTATTAGAGTGACACATGTTCCTTTATTTTATATTAACAATGGTCACGAATCATGCAAGAATAGTATGTGGATGATGTCTTCTAACTAATAGTAAGTCAAAAGGCACATCACGCCCCCAATCCATAGTGTAAGAGGGTTGTGACAACAAAAATCAAACACAGCATAGCTTCTAGGACTTTCAATTTTTGACTTAATAATTTTTGTTCCTATAATTACACTCTTTTATTCCCAATGTTTTCTATTTATGGCATTCCCTTTTACCCTGTTCAATTGATTAACATATTTGAATTACCAAATGAATAAGTTTACAGGGTGAAAGGCGATAGAAATTTCCAAAAGTTCAGATTAAAGTGAAGTGGTATTTAAAATTAAAAGCCTCATGAATTAGAGTTCTCGATTCAAATCCTCTTTCTCCATTTTTACTTCTTAAATCTCACCCGTCACTTGGTAATTTTTTTTTAAAGGTTTTATAGGGTAAAAAGGATTTCCAAAAGGCAATAGAAATTTCCAAAAGTTCAGATTAAAGTGAAGTAGTGTGTCCTGAACGATTCACAAATAGGATTTTCATTGCTTAATCCTTTTCCCGCATAACCTGCTTTATAAGCTACCACTTAATCAACCCGCGCTTAATCATTCAAATCCAAAATTCACGCTTCTCAGCTAAACACAGTCCACGCTTTCTCGAAACTATCTTAACCATTCTAAGTCCATTCCGGGCAAGCATGCAGATCTTCGTCAAATCCCAAAGCAGCAGGACCATTGTTCTTGAGGTGGAAATTTCCGATACCATCCAAGTCGTCAAGGCCAAGCTTCAACAGAATGATGGAATCCCTCCTCAGCACCAGAGCCTCGTATTCGCCGGCAAACAACTAGATGAAGATCGCTCACTCGCGGATTACGACATCCAGGAGAACTCCACCTTAATGGCAAGGCCGAGGTACACTGACAAGCGAAAATTCCGTTATATGCAGCCACATGATCCTCACAAAAGCAACCTCCCCGAATCTTTGTCGGAAAACAGTCCACAAAAGTACCCTCTCGTGTTTATCATAGTAATGGTTTAGTTTTTCGGTTAATTGTACTGCTTCTTGATGCTAACTATGACAGGTTTCTTGAAGTTGTTAGATGCTATATATGTTTTTTTTTTAAATGATCAGTTAATTGGAAATCTTTTATCTTGTTTTATTGACTGGAATTTGAATTTTTGCGGTTAGATTTTATGTTCTTTATTGATTAGCCATACAGAATTAATTCATCTTGTATTTATGATCGGAATTTCTTCATATCAATATCCCTAGACATTGCACCTTTTACATGGCTTAATTATATAAATAGTTATTGACAAAAAAAAATTATATAAACTGTTTGGTTAAGTTGTGCACCACTTACTCATTAATAGGGGTTTCAAGTATTAGTTTTTTAGTAGAAAAGTGCAGATAACATGGAAAAATGTATAAGAAAAAGGACACAATAATTGTGATTGTGTGTATCAACATAACAAATTAAGTAATTTATCTGTGCTAACAAGTGCCCATTGGGTACTGATCACCAGAAAAACCCTTATGTAAATCAAGAAAAATTAATCTTAGCTAATTGTAAAACTAAGGTTACTCATTGACAAAGTATAAATTGTTTTTCTTTTTGGTAATTTTGTAAATTGATTTTTTATTTGTTCATGAAATAATGTCTTGTCTATAAGGAAAAAACAAAATATTGGGCTTAACTTAATTTTAATAATAATTAAATAGTTTACATCAAACCGTGATTGTTTACAAAGTGGCCATAAAATCATAGTAATTCATCAGACTTTCAGAGTATTACAACACACTTTGTTGGGGAAAAAAAGGAAAAAAGAATACACATCTGCAAACATACTTTATTGTATCCGCAGTTTATCACGAGAGTCGGTGTTTGCTAGGCTACCAATACCAAAAGGATAAGCATTAAGTAATGAGGATAATGCAGAGTATGCCGATTTTGAAGATGCTTCATACACTATTTCACTGGGATGGAAATCATCCCAGAAATAATATTGGTTTCTGCTGCTGCAGTGAATTTGTCCAGGATTGCATTGTCCAGCACTAACTGTTGTAGACACATTGCAGCATGGTGCCTTATCAATTGAAATTTCTGAGATAGATTTAGTGTAAGAGTGAATTGAAAAAAAGAAAAAAAAAAACACAGTATCAAAGAAAAACGTGGAAGTAGATGTGTAGAAGATGTACAATGACCTTTTTTCTTTTTTTCTTTTCTTTTCGTTTTTGTTTCTACATAAACTGAAATTTCCTGAGTGAACCCTCCAATTGTCTGGTCTATATTATGTATCCAACTAGACATTCAAATGGAAGTGGCAAGTGGCAAGTGGCAAGATAGGATAATTTTGCTTTTATAATTTCATGTGAAATGCTGAGTAGCTGAAGTGTTTCTAAGTCAATCGTTCCATTAAAACGTTAATTTGCTTCATTGGAGTTCGAGTTTATGCAAGTATATATACTGATGAATTATCATTCCATATACTAGCAACCAATATTGCGTGTTCAAATGGTTAAAAGATAACAAATCTAATTGTTCAAAATGTATTAGACGCTTTAGATCATTTTATTAGGAAAAATATGAAATATAAGAACCCAAAAAAATTCATAGAAGGGTACAAATTTTGGTAAATAAGGGTTTGAGTATTGTTCATTGATTAAAATAGTTAATAAATTTATTGTTAAATGACTAGGTCGTGTTTGATAATCCAATTTATCACTTAAATTTAATGACTTCAGATCTTAACATATTCAGATTCGTTTGATAATAAAAATAGAACATCTAAATTAATTAAGCGACACTGAATTTTCTAGGCAAAATTTGTTCCAAAAAATAAGTGAAAAGTTATTTACTTATCACTCAATGTGATATATACTCAAATATATTAGATTTAGTACTTAATAATTCAATAATTTAATGGATTTAGACTTTAAATTTTAAATTTGAATTTTGATCTCAGTTTTATCAAACACATCCTAAAACACCTTCATAGAATTGTGCACTCCATTGTATAGGACATCTACACAAATATTATATTAAGGGATAAATTCTTTGGTTTAAGAACCTCTTCATTTTGATATTGCATTACCATGATTTTGATAAACTTCAAAAGAAAATAACCCAAGAATGTTAAATGTGGTAACTAACAAAATAATTACCAACTTACATCTTTTTCTAAGAAACAAATTATTATCCACACATTTTACTTTAGTCTTTATAACAAAAATGTTGTAAAATTAAATCCAATAAGCTTATTTTGTAACCAAAACCTTAATATTTTTTTCGTTTGCATGAACATCAGGTTTGCCTTCGTTACTGAGGATGGTCGTTCCAGCTCGGATAGTCCGGGGGCCTCACCCTGTGGTACTTCTGGAACCACCGCCTCGGCAATCCCCCTCGGGTCGTGACTTCGGAAAGTGACTTCGACCCAGTTACCATCGCGGCTAGGATCTTCTGTCATAGAGACAAAGTGACGTGTAAGTGTCTGACCCCCGGAGAGGTGGGATGTGACCTCTGACACCTCTGACACTTGACAAAGCTGCTCTGACACATGCGCCGCCTGACTCTGACAACTGTTCCGGCGCGCCTTTTCGCAGGAGCCCATCAAATCAACTTGATGCACTGACCATGTCATATCTCTAGGGACCCGTGCCGGCAGTCTCTCTTTCATGTCCATCCTCTATAAATACTCAATACTTCTACTGAGAAAGGGGATGACCAATTTTCTGGTAAAACACCATACACTGATTCTCTCTACTATTAAACTGTTTTCTCAATCCCGAACTGACTTAAGTTTCGGAGTTACCAAGACCGCTGTGACCTTTTCAGCTACCGCACTTCCAGCTCTCGGTTCACTCCCGCCGGTCAGAATTCACCTCTTCAATTGGCGCCGTCTGTGGGAACGCGAAGACATCAGAGGATGAAACCTACGCGTTCTAGGAGCAGGAAAGCTCTCACTATTGGGGCTGAGCAGAGTAATGCGGCTCAGCATGAAGATATTTTCGAAGGGCAGGAGTCCCCGAGGACCCAGCCCGCAAACGAAGAAACCATAACCCGTATGGCCGAGTTTGTGACCGAAAACCCTAACATCTTCGAGGAGTTAGGAAGGTATCTTAAGAGACAAGACAAGCAAAAGGCCGAATCCTCTAAAAGGAAGTCGGATGGATCCCCTGAAGGTTCGTCCGAAGAAGAGTCCGACGGGAGGCGCCTGAGCCGCAGTGCTTCAAAGAGAGCATTCTCCAAGGCCACCTCTAAGGTAGCCTCTCTGACCAGGTCATTGTCAAGAGGGCTCTTGGGGCGACGACCTGAGGAGAAACCTCGACCCATGGAGAGAGCTGGGGTGGATTACAAGAGGGCTCCACCCTTCACGGATGACATTAACGAGGAGAGGTTTCCTCCCAATTTCAAACTCCCCTCGATACAATCTTACGAAGGCCGAGGTGATCCTGAGGATCACATTCATGCTTTCATCTCGGCCTTCCGCCTATATTGCATCCCTGACCCCGTCATATGCCGGGCTTTCCCAGTATTCCTCCAGGGGACAGCTGGAAAATGGTTCTGGGGTTTAGAACCTAGGAGCATTTCAACCCTGGGGGAATTAGTGGAGAAATTTCTTCACCGGTTTATTTCCTCCCGACCTACGACCAGAACCTCGGTTTATCTGTTGAATATGCAACAGAACCCGGGAGAGTCACTTCGATCGTACGTCCAGAGGTTCCACGAGTAAAGCGTGCAGATACCTAACCCCAATGAGCAGGTCACCGTTGCTGCTTTTACCCATGGGCTCGTTGCCGGGGTATTCAATACGGGGATCCATAAGAAGTATCCCCGCACACTCTATGAACTGTGGTTGAAGGTCGAGAAGGGCATACAGGCCGAAGACCTGAACTGCATAAAGAAAGAGGTCCAGACCGCCCGCTCAAGGACCGATCCCCGAAGGGGAAAAGAGGCTGGCCGAAGTGAAGTAGGGACGGGGAACTTCCAAAGCCCTAACCGAGATCGCCGCAGCGTGTTCAACCGGATCTCCAAGGGGAAAGCATCCATCCCCGAGTCCGAGTTGACCCCTTTGAACACTACTCGGTCCCGGGTGTTGTCAGTCATGGAACAGAATAACCTCGGGAAAGCACATCCGAAGATGTTCGGTAGCAGAGACAAGAGGAATTCCAACATCTACTACCTGTACCACCGAGACATCGGGCACGAGACCGAGGACTGCAACGACCTTAAGAGGGAGATCGAGAACCTCATCAGGCAAGGGCACCTGAAGCAGTTCATCCGCCGAGGTGGCAGTCACCAACGTAATGAACCCCGACGCGAAGGCCGAAGTGACCAACGCCGAGACGAGAGGCGAGTATCAAGAAGCAGCTGTAGGCCCCTTGAGGATCCTAGGGAGACGAGAAGGCCTCCCCGAGACGGATCTTCAGGTCATGGGTTGGGATATGGGCCAAATATAGCTGGGGTCATCAACACCATCGCCGGAGGTCCGACGGGAGGGGATAGTCAGAACTCCCGGAAGAGGTCCTACAAGCAAGCCAACCCGGATCAGGCCGAGTCAAGCTCTCACCTATCCGAGGTGATCTCTTACGGACCCAGTGATCCTGTCCCAGCTGCCTCTAGTAGCCATGAGACTTTGGTGATTGAAGTGCTCACCAACAATTACATTGTGAAGAAGGTCTACATTGACCCGAGAAGTTCGGTGGACGTCATGTACCTCCGAACGTTTGATAGCCTTAAACTGGCCAGGGAACGCATGACCCCAGTAGGAACCCCCTGGTAGGGTTCGGGGGACACGTTGTGCATCCCGAAGGGATGGTGACTCTGACAGTGACCGTGGGGCATCACCCCCGTTGTCGAACCATTCCAGTCAACTTCGTGGTGGTTAAGGCTGATTCCCCGTACAACTTGCTCCTGGGTCGACCCACGCTTAATGCTCTGCGGGCGGTATATTCCACATACCATCTGAGTTTTAAGTTCCCTACCCCCGCAGGTGTGGCCGAGGTGAACAGCGATGTCTGCGCTGCCCGAAAGTGCTATCTCGCCACTTTGCAAGCGGCCTCCGGCACTAGGTCAGAAAAGAGGTCCAACATCCTCTCAATTGATTGCATCGATCCTCAGCAAGCTGAGAAGCCCCCGAGGCTGGAGACCGAAAATGAGGTGGAGGAGATCTCCATGGATCCCACGAATCCAGATCAGACGATCCGCGTCGGCATCCATCTGCCTGACCCAATTAGGAAAGACATGGTGGATCTTCTGAGAGAATACCGAGACGTATTCGCCTGGGCTGCGGACAAGGTCCAAGGAGTCCCACATCACCTCATGATACACGAGTTGAACGTTGATCCTCAGGCACGCCCGGTCAAACAAAAAAGGAGGCACATCGGCCCTGAGCGAAGCCGAGCTGTAGGTGAAGAAGTGGACAAGCTCCTGCCCGCAAAGATAATCCGGGAAGTCCAGTATCCGACCTGGTTATCCAACCCGGTCATGGTTAAGAAGGACACGGGAGTTTGGAGAATGTGCGTCGACTTCACCGACCTCAATAAGGCATGCCCCAAAGACTGCTACCCATTGCCCAAGGTCGACACCTTGGTGGACTCAGCAATGGGTTATGAGGTCCTATGTTTCCTTGATGCCTTCAAGGGGTATCACCAGATCGGAATGAGTCCCGAGAACCAGGAGAAGACGGCCTTCTATATAGACCAAGGCGTTTATTGCTACACCACCATGCCTTTCGGATTAAAGAATGTCGGGGCCACATATCAACGCCTGGTCAACCAAGCTTTCAAATCCCAGATCGGCCGAAATGTCGAATCTTACGTGGATGACATCCTTCTCAAGAGCCAGACGACCTCCACTTTCCTTTCTGACCTGAAAGAGGTCCTTGAGGTCCTTCGGAAGACGTGAATGATGTTAAACCCCAAGAAATGTGTTTTTGGGGTCACCTCTGGAAAATTTTTGGGTTACCTCGTCTCAAGGTGAGGCATTGAAGCTAATCTAGATAAAGTGAGAGCAATCCAGAAAATGTCTCCACCTCGGTCCATCCGTGAGGTGCAGAGGCTCACAGGGCGGTTGGCGGCCCTGAACCGATTCCTGTCGCAGTCAGTCTCCAAGGCATTACCTTTTTTCAAGGTTCTCAAGAAGGCCGACAGCTTCTCCTGGACTGAAGAATGTCAACAGGTCTTTGAGCAACTAAAGGAGTACCTTCACCAACTCCCAACGCTCACCTCGCCTCGACCGGGGGACAAGTTGATTTTGTACCTGTCTGCCGCGGTCGAAACTGTGAGCGCCGTACTGGTAAGGGAATAAGGTGTACAAACTTCCATTTATTACATCAGCCGAGTCCTCCGAGGTCCGGAGACCAGGTATACACAGGCGGAAAAGCTCGTGCTGGCCTTAATCCATGCAGCCCGCAGGATTAAACCCTATTTCTTAGCTCATCACATCTGCCTTCGAACTGACCAGCCCCTCAGACAAGTCTTATCATGCTCGGAGGCTTCTGGACGCCTTACTAAATGGGCCATTGAGTTGGGGGAATATGACCTGTCTTATGAACCTCGGACGGCTATCAAAGCTCAAGCCCTGGCGAATTTTTTGGTTGAACTCACTTTCGACGAGGTAAATAATTCTACCCCAGCCACCGCTGAGACTCAGCGGTGGATTCTGCATGTGGATGGCTCGTCTAACAGTGAGGGTAGTGGAACGGGCTTGCTCCTCGAAGATCCCCAGGGAGACGTGTGTTCATATGCCTTAAGATTTGATTTCGCCGCTTCAAACAATGAGGCCGAATACGAAGTAGAAATTGCCGGCCTGCAACTAGCTCGTAAGCTCGGGGCCGCGCACATCTTGGTCTACAGCGACTTCCAACTTGTCGTGTGCCAAATATTGGGTGAGTACGAGGCTAGAGAAGAGGTCATGCATCGCTACCTCTCCAAGGTCCACCAGTTGATCGCACACTTCGAGTCTTTTGAAATCCAAAGGATACCACGGTCGCAAAACAAACGGGCCGATGCTTTATCTCGGCTTGTTTCTACCTCGTTTTCTGACTTGAATAAGACGGTTCTTGTGGAAGTTTTAGCCGAGCCGGAATACCTAGGAGAAGTCGTGTACCCCGTCTATCCCGGAGACACCTGGATGGGCCCCTTGATTCGATTTCTCAGTCGGGGGGAGCTCCCTGATGATCGAACTGAATCGAGAAAGCTTCAGCGTAAAGCAGCTCGGTATACCATCCGACAAAATCTCTTGTACAAGAGGTCCTACCTCGGCCCGTGGCTGCGATGTATTACACCAGAAGAAGACCAAAGGATCCTCCAAGATATACACAAGGGACTCTGTGGTGCTCACGTCGGCTACAGGATGCTCGTCAAAAAAGCTCTGTTGCTAGGGTATTTCTGGCCCACCATAAGGGTAGATGCCCAGATCATGGTCCTTAGCTGTCCTGCTTGCCAGCACCACGCCCCTGAGCACCACCAGCCGACCAATCTCATGATCCCCATCACCTCGCCATGGCCATTCGAACAATGGGGGACTGACATAATCGGCCAATTCCCCAGAGCCCCAGACAATTACGCTTACGTGGTGGTAGCGGTGGATTATTTTACCAAATGGGCCGAGGCCGAGCCTCTGAGAACCATCACTGGGTCAGCCGTTCAAAAATTTTTCTAGAAGAGCGTGGTTTGTCGCTTCGGCCTACCCCGAGTGGTCATCTCGGATAACGGCACGCAATTCGCTGATAATCCTTTCAAGGCGTGGTGCGAAAATCTAGGAATCAAACAGCATTTCACCTCGGTTGGACATCCTCAAGCCAATGGACAGGCCGAAAACTTCAACCGCACTCTCCTTCATGGTCTCAAAACCAGACTACATTGAGCTGGATCATCCTGGATGGAAGAACTTCTCAGCGTTTTGTGGTCTTACAGGACCACCCCGAGGTCGGCAACCCAAGAGACTCCGTTCTCTTTAACGTATGGGTCCGAAGCTGTAGTCCCCGCCGAGTTCATCACGCCGAACCCGCGAATGGCCGCGTATGCTGCCGAAATTAATGAAGAAGAGCGGCGAGTCGACCTCGACCTCGACCTCGCCGAAGAGAAACGTGATATGACAGCGGCCAAAATCGCTCTTTATAAAAATATCCTAGTTGGCTACTATAATACCCGGGTCAGGCACCTGCGATTCAATCCGGGAGACCTTGTGCTCCGGAAAAATTCGGTCAGTCGAGCTGAACCTCAGGGAAAACTTAGCCCCAAGTGGGAGGGACCCTACCGTGTTATCGAATCCAGCCAAAACGGATACTGTAAATTAGCTTACCGGGATAGTTCTCGGGTGTCTCGAACTTGGCACGCTGAGAACCTCAGAATGTATCACCCCTGAAGGGTATGTGCTTTGTTGGTTATTCAACTCATCTGTTATTTCTCCCTTAGTATTATTTTATTCTATCCTAAGTGAAAAATAAGGGGACAGAGCGAGTATATTAGCCGAGATCGAATAAAAAAGAAGAGAAATTGAAAGTCATTATATTAACGATCAAAATAAGTTACATAGTATCGAGGTCGGGTATGATTCTAAGAACCCGTCACCTCGGCAATTGATAAGTTAACACCTACACACTCCCTACCCCGGCGTCCTGGTTGTCCCCAGTTGTCTCGGCTCCACCACCTCCGCCATCGGTACCGTCGTCTTCGCCATGGATTTCAGCCCCGTCCAGATCAAACTCAGACAGCCACTTGTTGAATTCTTCTTTCACCTCGGCCAAGTCCCTCCCGGCCCGGATGCCTTCGGCCATGCGGTCGAACAGTTCCTTAGCATCCTCGTTAAAATTATCCTTGTTGTGAAGGGACTCCAGCTGTTCCGGAGTGAGGAAGGGAGCCGCATCATGAACTGCTGAGGTGTATCCGAACATGAAACTCGGCAATGTGAGCTCGCCAAGGTCCTTGAGAAAACCCTCAGATTTTCGGAAGGCCTCCAGTGCAGAGGTCCCTACTTTCTCAATGGCCGCCTGAGTTGACTGTTCCTCTTGGGCCCTCCTATCTTTTTCTTCTTCAAGGGCCGTCATCAAGGAATTCTTGGTAGTCTCGGCCTGCTCTCGCGCCGCCTCGGCCTTGTCACGTTCCTGCTCGGTCGTCTTTAGTTTTTCCTCCAGCTCGGCAACCTTCTTCTCAAGCTCGGACGAAGGCTGATAGTTTTCGACCAGCCTGGTATAGCGCTGAGTCAGTTCGGCGAGGAAGGCCGTGGTGGAGGCCCAACTGACGGATACGCTTTGCATCAGTTCGCCCGGAGTGAGCTTCCTGGCGTAGGTGTTATCCCTTGGTAGAACTGAATGGACCAGGAGCTCCTGAGCGACCAAGGGATTTTTGCAGCGATCATTTACGTTGAGCTCCCACTCCGGACACCATTGCGCGCCGGAGTGCCGTTTATCCTCCCCGACTTCTTGTGAAGGCACGTTGTGGAGGTTGAACAGGGAAGAACCCGTCACGGGGACTTCAGGAAACGCCGTCGTTCCCCTGCCCCGTGGTGGATAGGTTATTGTCACCCCTCTAATGGGCACCCCGACTGGAATGGCCGAGGTGCGGGAGACCTCCCCGGTGATTATCACGGGGGATCTCCGGCTCGCCGTGGCCGTAGTGGTTTGGACCGGTGTCGTTTTCTTTTTCGGCCGAGTGGACGGTTCTGCCATGTCCTTGCGCTTTGGCGGCCTCTTGTTTACCCCGGACGCCCCCGCGGTGATCAGGTCGGACACTTTCGTCACTTTGAAGTACAAAGGGAGAGTTAGTTAGAATCAAGAAAAAACAAACAAAGTAAGGAACGAGGAAGTACAATGTTTTTCAAGCCTATTAAAAAAAAATGGCGGACGATCTGGGCTGATGAGAGCTCGGCTGATTCCGCCGTCAACAAGAACTGTCTCGGGAAAATCCCAGCAGTTGATCCTGAGGCCCGACTCCATCAACTTTTTGAATTTACCCTCCTCCAGTTTACCCGGAGAGGTCTCTTTGACCGGGGTGGGAGGCCTCCACCAGAACCCTCTTGGAAAGTCATCAGCCGGGACAAATATGAAGTTCCTCTTCCACTCCTTGATGGAAGAGGGTGCATCTACCACTAATTTCGGGACCTTGTTCCCGAAGTAGTACCACCCCTCTTCATTCCCACTGTTCTTGAGTGAGTAGCACCGGCGGAAGAGATTAACCGTGGGAGTTATATCCTGATGTCGGCACAACATCTGGAAGTCGACCAGGACCCGGATCGCATTAGGAGTGAGTTGAGTGATTCTCACTTCCCAGAATCTCAGGCAGTCCCGGAGAAACCTCGTGGTCGGCACTCTGAGTCCTGCCTCTAACTGGTCGAGGTATATTGCCATTCTACCCCTGGGAGGGAGTTCAGCTGACTGGTCCGGCCGAAGAGAATAGATGTTGTAATCCCTCCTCCAGGGGTACTGACGGATCAGCTCGGCAATTAGGGCTCGACCCATTATGCTGCTGAACATGGGGACCTGGCCATAGTCAATCGCCACCAAGTTCGGAGGGGTGGCTGGTTCTTGCACCCCCTCATCCCTGGGAACTTCGTTGCCGAGGTCATCGTTGTAGAGGACCTCTGCTTCGACCTCGGTTTCCTCACTTTGTCCCTGGGGTGTCCCGACCTGATGAGACGCTTTGGCTCCCCCTTCCCCGACCTCAGAAGCGGTTCTCTCCTCGGAGGGGTCGGGCCTCTCTGGCTCGGTGAAGTCGGGTCTCACTGTCTCTTTGTGGGTACGAGCTGTCCTAGCCATTACTAAAAAGGGAGAAATGGACTTACTCAGAAGATGTGGTTTAAGAGATTGCCGAAGTGAAAAGACAGAGAAGCGAAGCTCTGAGGTGATTTTGGATTTCTGATAAAGAGTGAAACGGTAAAAAGGGACTCCTATTTATAGGTTAACAGGGGGAAGATGAAAAGGCGATATCTTTGGGATTCTCGAGGGCACGACCTCTCTCCTCATTAATGAGAATACTGCTCATCTGACCGTTGATTTCACGTTCATCCATGGATCCGTCATTAAAGCTGACAGCCGTCCTTTCACTTCTCTTCCAGCCGTCCCATCGACGCAGTAAGGATGTGTCCTTGCTGTACTTCGTGTCTTACATACTTGTCAGCCTCGGGAAGTAACTATCTTGGGAGGCAATGATCTCGCCCTTCCCGAGGCTAGGGGGGCTTAGTGAGGATGGTCGTTCCAGCTCGGATAGTCCGGGGGCCTCACCCTGTGGTACTTCTGGAACCACCGCCTCGGCAATCCCCCTTGGGTCGTGACTTCGGGAAGTGACTTCGACCCAGTTACCACCTCGGCTAGGATCTTCTGTCATAGAGACGAAATGACGTATAAGTGTCTGGCCCCCGGAGAGGTGGGATGTGACCTCTGACACCTGACAAAGCTGCTCTGACAAATGCGCCGCCTAACTCTGACAACTGTTCCGGCGCGCCTTTTCGCAGGAGCCCATCAAATCAACTTGATGCACTGACCATGTCATATCTCTAGGGACCCGTGCCGGCAGTCCCTCTTTCCTGTCCATCCTCTATAAATACTCAATACTTCTACTGAGAAAGGGGATGACCAATTTTCTGGTAAAACACCATACACTGATTCTCTTTACTATTAAACTGTTTTCCCAATTCCGAACTGACTTAAATTTTGGAGTTATACCGGGGGATTCAGCCCCTCTTATACCCTAAGCAGGTGACCAAGACCGATGTGACCTTTTCAGCTGCCGCACTTCCAGCTCTCGGTTCACTCCCGCCGGTCAGAATTCACCTCTTCAGTCACCGTCCTATATTATCTGTGCAAGTTGAGTCTAAATAAACACTTTCGGTTTCCATAAAGTAGAAGTTCCAACGTACCTGCAGGCATAGTATTCAAAGTGATTGCTGTCACATTTACATAGATAAAATGTGCACTGCTTAACTCGGTATTCAGTTCATCGACCAGTGGCTTGAGCTCCTCATTGAATAACTGAACTTCACTATTTAAAGAATCCACACATGTACCATCTATAGATAACAAACCAGGCACACAACCAAGGAAACCTAGCCCAAAGATAGCTATTTTTCTTGCCCCCAATCTGTACAATTTCTAGCACAAAAGGGATACGAGTTAGGTTTTTTCTTTTTTTTTTTTTAAATGTATATTCAAGGTGAACATCAAAATTTAATGAATAAAAATGGAAATCTGTTAAAAGAAAATAATTATACGAACCCGTAGTTGCTGAGAATATTCTTTAATCAACATTCTAGCAAATTGTCTTGGAGTACGTAGGCGGCTTGTAGGATAATATTCTGGGAGTAAGTAGCTGTCGATGTAATCATTACTTCCAATTGCAAAAGTATACAAACATTTGGCTAGGTATTCTTTTGTTGCAGCTTCGTTCCCGATTAATCTCGCAAGCTGTGAAGTTACTCTTCTATGATTTTGCAATTGTTGGTTGAGGCTGACGATATCGCCCTATTAGTAAAAAAGAAAGCAATTGTAGTGTGAGTTTTGGTTAACTTGCCTCCCTCAAGAGGTAAGTAACAACAAAAAGAAAAGCAAAAGACCTATACTAGATTCTTGAGATTTTGAAACAAATTTTTTAGTATGATTCGGTAATAATGAATGTATTCCATTAGCTTTCTTTTATTAAGCTATTTTAAAGAAGTGGAAATGTGTATCAGACAAGAAATTGGACAATAAAAAGAAGAAATAGGTCAAGTTATGAGTCATGACGATTTAAATTTCTAATGAGGCCATTGTGGCATTGTGACCAGAATCCATGGCCCGCAGCTGATATGTTCACAACATTATTTGTTCCTTTTTTCATTTTTCATTTTTCCCCTAAGTATTTTTACCACTTCTGTGTGCCATATGGTTCATTTGTGTTAAAATTTAAAGACTAATCCACCAATTGAAAAAGGGAGTTTGATTTTTGTGCACGAACGTGGAAAAGGTTGCTATATTAAACAATAATAGCTGGTCAATAAAACTATAGTATTGACCAAACATTACTATTAATGATGCCATGAAAAAAATTGGCAAAAAAGGGATTAGCAATTAACCAGTATTCTCAGAATTTCATTAAATCTTTTGTTGAAATCGATGCAATTTACAGGTGAAATTTTTATTTAATTAACATTTGGCTGTTTAAAGCATTAAACTATTTTGCAGAAACTCTTAAGTTTCATTTTGTCATTGGGGCAAACCTCAAGTGAGATACATGTAACCAACTCAATTTACAAAAGGGTAATTTGGGACTTTTAGATATATATATATATATATATATATATTGTTGGTGCATTCAACATATGATAGCAACTAATGTCTGGGAGTATTTGATTTACGTTTTGTCATTCAAGGGGTTTAACTATAATTTTGCCAAACAACAAGGTAGTTTTGTAATTTGGTCAAAATCACAGGGATGATAAATGTAATTAACCCAAAAAACTATATAACTAATATAAATAAAAATTTTCCATTTGAAATTCTCCTAGATAAGACAATTGTAGAACGGGAAGGTCCAATGGAGCCCTAACATTGGCCTTGAACTATAGGCCCGCCAAACAATTCTCTTCCACTTCAAGGTTAAATGAAATTCACTTGAATCAAGGATCCATGCCTCATTAGTCTATTTTAGTCCACTTCAAGTTTAAATGTCTATTTCAAATTTTTGTAAATCCTACTCTAATTTGCTTATATTGTATTGAAACTTATGTACATCTCATTCTAACCTGTTTACACTCTAAAGGCAAGCTAATTTGAAATGGAACTTGTGACCAGAGAAGAATGTGGATATATGATCATGCCAGTATCCTCTTATTCGACCATTCATGGTACTGGATTTTGGACATAGTTCGAAAACCATGGTGAATGAGTGACTCGAATCGTTGTCAAAATAACTAATCAGAATAAGTTCCCATGCCAACATATCGTGGTTAAGCGAGGATTAAGGGTCTAAGCTTGAGTCTACTTAACACTTCTAACTGGCAGTACGCGAGAACGAGCCTACACTTTGATCTACACATAGTGGACAATCACTCTAGATTTCATTGCATACAAAAATTAAAAGAAAATGAAAATCAAGAAGCCAAGTAGTCTCCTCACTATAATGTGATTTGACCATTTTTAGATTGTCATTTTTTCTCAAAAATTTTTACTTTTTCATAAATATATTTTTCAATCATCTTTTTATTTCATATATATCAAATCGTTACATTACATTTTTTTACAAAGACTTCAGAAAACAATGATCCAAACGGGAGCACATTATAAATTATTTTGGCTAGAAGGAAATTTATTTGCCAATATTCTAACTCTCAATTCATAAATATTTATAAATGCTAAGATCCCATTAAATTGTATTCCTGTCGAGAAAATTTCGGTGGATTGTCAACATCATTTGTTATCTTCTTGTTCAATTATTGCAGTGTCATAAAAAATTTTCAGTAGGCAGACTGCCCATTAATGGCACCTGTCTTATTAGGCAGTGACATGTTCTCGTTTTTGAACGTCATATAAAAGGTCTGGTACTACAATGCATCACATTCCAATCATCAATAGCCCAGGAAAAACGCCTTTCAAGAAACATGGACAAGAGCAAAATTGAAAAATAGAGGCAATTGGAGAGTTTATGTTAGTCTTGAAATTGAACAGAATTGGATTTCTTAAATATACTGCAATTGCAAAACAAAGGGCCGTTAAATCAGTTCTTAGCATGTGGATGCACAAAATATAAACTATTTACTTTGCATTGAGATACATATACAGTATCATGTGATTTTTTTTTTTAAAAGGTTTAAAATGGCTGAAGTGATTTAGGCAATTTTGTTTTCATTTTGTAAGTGTATTCTTACCAAAGTAATGAGAGAATATAACATTGATCTGAAATTTCAAAACTTTTTATTTTTCAAAACAAAATTGTATAATTACCAGCTGGCGACCTGTCTGGTCAAGAATTCCGGATGCTGCTGATGCATAATTAACACCTTTAGTGATGTGCTGGCCTTTTATTTTTGCAAATGGAGGCATGTAGCCCTCAAATCCAAGGAGCTCAGCTGCCAGAAACAGACATATACTTACTATCATTAAGTAGCATATAAGTTGGCAAGCCCTAGCTTGTTTACGAAATTCATCTCATTTTTTTTTCAGTCCTTAAACTTCAAGCATCACTTACCTACTATTCCATCAATTTTGACAATCCTGCGAGATAGATTTCATATTTTAAGAGTAACGTACGAAGTTGAAGTTTAAGAACTATAAAGTTGATGCTTTCATATTTTAAGAGTTAAAGTGTCCAAGAATAAAAATTGAAAACTCAGCTTGAAATGCTTTTAAGAGTCCAAAGTGGAATATAGTCTTCATAAAAGAGTCCATACGAATCAAAAAACTTTTTGAAAGAAATAATACAATAAAAAAAAAAGGTTTTGTGCTGGATATAGAAAAGAAAGAGATGGTTACCTATGAAGTCCGCTTGGTTTCGCCCATTGGTGAAGCGACCAGTTGGACCTTCCGGGAAATCAATGCCGTAAGGTGGATAATTTGCCTTGGCAGTAGTGTTCAGGTAATTGTTGTTGCCATTGTCATCTTGGGAGTCGCCGAAAATGAAGTAACAAGGGACCTGAGGATTGCCCAGAGCAAATGGTTGCAAGAAGAGGATAACCACTCCTACGACGGGCAAGAAAACCCATTGCTTAGCTACAAAAGTCATGATTGTCGCTGAGGAAAGAAGCAAGTGATAGGAAAAGCCAGACGTGGAGGTACCAAAAATCCAGTCATTGCCAAAATATAGAAGGCAGAGGAGCTATTGCAGTTGGCTGTAGTGGTGGTCCACCTTGGGAGAGGGCGGAGCCACTCCATCTCCATGTGCTGTTAAACCTGACCCGGCGAAGGAATCGGGTAAATCGGTGATTGATTCAACTAATGAATTGATTGTTGAATCTGTGGATCACTAAAATAATATTTATAAGGGTAAATTATATTAACTTCCCCTCTTGTTTTTACATAAGTTAGGGATCTTCACTCTTGATTTCGGAATAATGAGGACCTACCCTCTTGTTTGCCAAATAACAAGAAAAGCTTCCCTACATATGATTTGGGAAGAAATGTCATAAACTCAATTCAAAGCCCCCAAACCACTATTTCAATGACACAAGTAATTATTTCCAAAAAAAATAAGAAAAAAAGAGTGGAGCTTTTTTTCCCCTTCAACTTATAACTATAAAATAACGATCACACATAATTTTATTTATAGCCATAAAAGTTGGCCTTCTATCAATCATTTTTTTTTATTTCCAGATTAAGTGTTTGTATTTTCATAAGTAAATCCATAATACTTCTTTTCTATATTAGCTTTGCCACAAAATAAGTTGATGTCTTGAATCATTTATGTAATATTCATGTATATACAAGTTGAAATTTTAAGTTGTTAATATATTTGATAAATATACAGTTTGGACACCTCATTTTATTAGAATCCAATTTATTCTAGAGGTAGACACACATGCAAATCTATTAATTTTGACTGGGAAGAATAAAAATAACGAACAAAATATGGGAAATCTTCAAATTGTAATGCATAAAAATCGTTTTATTCTTCTTTTTTCCCCCATTTCTTAGAGAACAAAAGCTCTTTGTTTTGACAATTTTCTTTTGTTCAATATAAGATAAAGTGTAAAAAATGTAAAATCAAAACTAGTATAAATGTTGACTTGATGGAAGACATTGATAAGAGATGTTCATGTTGTTTCAGAATCAAGAGAAGAGACCCCTGACTGTTGCAGGAATCTAGAGGGGAGGTTAGTGTAATTTACTTCTTTACAAATACATGTGACATTTTAGTTATCTTGAGATGCATAGAGTTTATAATAAAGTACTTCATAAATATTAATTAGTACATCTAAAAAGATATATTTTTACTATATAAACATTAATAAATGAATCAATTTCTTTATATCATAGTTTAAAAATATAAATCATGCATTCAAAGATAACAAAAAATAGCTTATTTATTAAAAGAATAGGCTTTTAAGGAAATAGAATTAAGTTTTTGTCAATACTTTGCCAAAAAAATTCAATTAATTTTCAACCATTGTTACGTAATAATAACACTTTCATATTGAAAGTTGAATTAATTATGCAATAATAAAGTAAAAAAAAAAAAGTACATTTGAAGGGACATTTGGTCAACAAGTGAAAGTTTATTTCCAATAAAAAAGTCTTTTGCACATCAATGAAGAACATTCATATTTCCCCTTGAGAAAAAATTGAACTTCAAACAAAATTATTTTGAGATTCACGGTCCAAACATTGGTAAAAACAGACATTTTGATCCAAAAACAAAGGCCTATCGGGTCATTGAGCACCATCTATGTTCCCAGTTAAACCATTGGGTCAACCGGGTTGCGTCATATTGCCTCTTTTTCCGATCAAATTAGAAACCTAGTGGCCGTTCATTGGGTCATCTGGTTCAACTTCTGAGCTAGGACGAATTTAATAACTATCCACGTGTCCCTATATCGGCTTTAGAAAAGTTGTGCTTTTATCCTGATAATTAGTTGAAATTCAATATATACATATATACACATGCATATATGCCTGAAGAAAAGAACCACTAGTAACTGATAGATGCAATGTACTATAACTATAATTGATTATTATAATATCTTCCCAATCCTTTAGGGAACTTAATCCAATGGTTACACTTTTTTTAATATACAGTAACGATTTAGTGGTTTCTTGAATCCATATGTATGTTATTCATCGCATATATGTATGTTACTTTGCTATGTGAATCTTACAATTGTCTGCTCCTATTCGCACAGCAAATTTCTCTTTCACTTGTTCTCCATTAAAAGATTTTCTTGTTCACAACACTGAGTTTGGAGTTCTGCACTTCTGCTTCTATTCACGAAACTAAAATTTCTCCATTACTTGTGCCCAGCTGAAAATTGTCTTGGCTCCACCGCTATGGTTGAAGTTCGACACATCTTAAACAGCTGAGCTCTGTACACGAACAGGAAAGTGTTTTCCTGGTCATTGAGTTTTGTAGAGTAAACATGAGCGGAAAACCTGAACTTTATTCATTAATTCAAGTTGCTCTTGACAAAGTCTAAGCTGGTATTTTTGTTTGTTAATGAAGTAAATTTTTGTCTAAAACAGAAAAAAGCACCAAAAAAAAAAAAAAGCGAATTCACTGGCCATTAGCACATCCTAAACTCTTTTCCTTTGGTTCACGAATTGAATGAATTGGATTACTTACTTTGCTTGTTTAGTTAGAAATGACCTTACTTTTATAGAGACCAATATACTTGCGATGTGCAGTACTTCTATTTTCTAATTCAAAAAATAATTTTTAAATGAATTGAATAAGTTTCACAATTATATACTTTAATATGAAAAATGAAAATTTAGACTAGCTCTTTTTTTTTTTTGGAGCAATTCAAGGCTTGTAGGATTTATAATATGTTATCGGCTTAAAGTCGACCCATTCGGCTCGTTTCAAAACAGCGCTGGCTTGAATCTCAACTTGCAGTCCGACTGAAAATATGGGTCAAGTTTGCGCTAAGTTAGGTCAGTCCAAATAAGGCTTATCTTGTCAAATAAATAAGATAATAGTATACAGATATACATCGGTCCAATTTCATTCTGAATCAATACTATGAAGTGGAATACATATATGTGTGAGAGAGGGAGACAGAAAGAGAGAGACCTTGAAGCAGGTTGGGCTTGGGCCACCAAGATTTTATTACCTGTTCGATTTTAATGTACAATATCTGGACGCAAAGATTATGAATTCAAATCTCCTTCCTGCCTCCTCGCTTTATAAATCTCACCCCTTCTAATTTTTTTTTAAAAGTAGTTATATAGTTGTGAGAGTATATAGGGTTAGAACAATCACAGGGACAAACTAGTTGAACATGGTATAATCCCACCCCTTATTTATCTTGGGAAAACTGTTACCACCTCCAATGTAAGATTATTTTATCTTACGAATGAGGGATTAATTTGGTAAAATGAAATGTCTAATTGCATAAAAGTGACTAATTATGGGATAACATAATATTAATAATTTAATCCTATATCATCTCATGAAACAAACTAACGAAGTCTTTTAGACTAATAAAGGCACGGTTTGAATCCTGACTCAAACATGTGATTACATAAAGGTCTTTTAGAACTATAAGAACACTTAATAAACTTTGAACGAGGATTCTGCACAGACATTGGGCTTTTACACAATTCTAATAGTAATTATAAATAGTCTGAGATTAATGATAACATATTGTTTCCATTGAGGAGATAACATCACACTAGCACATTCGGACTCTCAAGTTTTATTACATTGAGTTTGACTTGTCGGAAACTTGGAATATAGAAATATCATGGGACACATAGATACAGTCTATTGTATCTTCACTTTATCATGACAGTTTTTGCCTGTTAGGCCGCCAATGGCAAGAGGATCAGCATCAAGTAATGAGGATAACGCAGAATATGCTAATCTTGAATATGCTTCATTGACTACTTCACTGGGATGGAAATCATCCCAAAAATAATATTGGTTCCTGTTGCTGCAGGGAATTTGCCCAGGAATACACTGTCCACCAGCAACTGCTGCAGACACGTTGCAGCATGGTGCATTGCCAATTGTAATTTCTGAAATAGATTAAGTGTAAGATTGAATTAAAAAGAGAGAACAGAACCGGCAAAAAAAAGCCAAAGCAAACAGTGGAATGTAAGACAGCAGGAAAGATACAATGACTTCATTTGTTGAAAAAAAAAAAAAAGCAAACAAGAAACATAAATTAAGATCTCCTCAACAAAAATTTTTTGAATGCAGTATTTATTATTTATTCAGGTTGAATCTTATTTGTCAATCAAACAGAATGTTCCAATAAAATAGGAGCTCAACGTACCTGCAGGGGTGGATAAATTGTTCAAATTGATTGCTATCACATCTACATAAAGAAATTGTGCACCGCTTAACTCGGTATTCAGTTCATCAACCAGTGGCTTGAGCTTGTCATTGAATAACAGAACTTCCTCGTTAATAGAATCCACACAGTTACCATCTGTAGATAACTCAGCAGGTATGCAGCCAAGCCAACCAAGCCCAAAAACGGCTATTTTTCTTGCCCCCAATCTGTACAAAGTCTAGCACCAAAAGGGTTTCAAGTTAATTTTCTTTTTCTTTTTTTTTTAAATTTATATACCTGGTGATCTTGAAAATAATGAACGAAAACTGGATATTGTTAAAGAAAAATAAACATAATAATAACTAAACCAACCCGTAGTTGCTGAGAATAATGCCTAATTAACAAGCTGGCAAATTCTCTTGGAGTATATAGGTGGCTGGTAGGATAATATTCTGGCAACAAGTAGTTGTTGATGTAATCATTATTCCCCAATGCAACAGTGTACAGACATTTGGCTAGATATTCTTTTGTTGCAGATCTGTTTCCAATCAACCGCACGATGCGCGAAATTGCTCTCTCGTGATTGTGCAATTGTTCGTTGAAGCTGAAGAGATCGCCCTATTAGCAAATAAAAAAGCATTATGTAGAGCGGCTTTTGGTCAAGTTACCTCCTTCATGTGAAAATTAACAATAAAATAAAGAGCAAAGCACCTATACTCTTTTTTCCCACATTATATTTAGATTTTTTCTTTAAAAGTGGGATTCTTATGCTTTTATCTTGCACTGACACCTAAGGTGTTGATCACTCAAAAACCATTGCATCTATTTTTTGTCTTGCACTTACATTAGGTTTTCATAAAATTCTTATCCTTTTTCCCTTCTCAATTACTCCTTTTTGTTAAAATTTATGCCTCTGAGCTCCCTCTCTTTGTATTTTCTAAGAAATTTTATTCAAGCTGTAGGACTTATCATCTATAATTAGGCAACGAGAATATCTTTGGGTTAGCTTCCTTTTATTGAGCAATTTCAAAGAGCTGAATGTGTTTATCAAACAAGAAATCGGACACTAAAAGAAACAAGAGATCAAGCTATGACAATCTAATAAAACCTTAAGCATAAATTGCCATCTATAGCGTGGGTTGAGTGGCAAATTACTTCCTATAGACGATCAACCAGACGAGTGGCTCAGATTTTTGGTACAGGAGAAGTGCGAAAGACATTTATGCCCTCAATACATAATACTTTGGTAGTTCTATTATTTTTAAGAGTGGTGTTATTATATTCTACTAGTAAAGAACATTGTACTCTCTAGGAAATGGTGATACAATTGTAGATATAAAAAATGAAATAATTTCAGAAACCTCCCTTGAGTTTTCTGACACTTTCACTGACCTCCTTTGAAATTTCAAAAATTACACTAAACTCTTTTAAACTTAAGGTTTTGGTAACAAAATCAGTCCAATTCAGAAAAAAGCACTATTGAAAAAGTATTTTGAGGAGTGAGATGATAATTTTCTTTCATATATGCCCTTTTCTAATTGTCTTCAAGTTGTATTAGTAAAGAATAAAATAATTAATAAAAATCAAGGAATATATTTAAAATTTGAAAAGATGCAGCAACTATAACCTGAAGCAACAATGGTTTTTGCACATAGCTAGTGCAAATTGTAAAGGCCATATTTTTTGTCATTTGCAACTATATATAAAAGACACAACTAACTCTATAATGCCATTAAATTATTAGTATAAGCATCTAAATTTGGGTAAAAAATTTAATCTTTTTATTGTAGTTGACGAGGTAAAAGTAAATATATTGATGAAGAAAACATACAAGTCTTAATCAACAAATCAACAATAAACAGTATAAATAGTTTTGTTTAACCACAAGATTCAACAAAATAAGTCAGTCAAAAAATTTTCTATTTCTCTTGCTCAAAAGATCTATTTGTGCAGATTATATAAGGTTTTCTATTCTGATTATTGTCAAGTGATATCAATCACAAAAAAAGTGCCATCTTAAGTTAGCAATTGATGCAATTTTTTGATTGTAATTATGGTTGCTAATTTGAGATGAAATAATCATTATTTTGGTTTATTTAGTTAATCTTATTTATTTAGTGCCTTAATCTTTTTTTTCGTCATATATCCATTTGTAATAATGCATAATGTCTTAGGGCAAAGTAGTACTTTCACTATATTTTATATAAGTAATGGGTCCAAATTTTTGACAAGGGAGGTTAGTATAATTTTTAAAATCTTAAGGGAGGTCAGTGAAAGTGTTAGAAACCTCAAGAGAGGTTTCTGAAATTATCCCATAAAAGATTACATAAATTATTTTTACTAAAAAAATTTAGTTGTGATAAATTATACTATTTAATTTTTTTAGAAGAGAATACCAATATATATTTGAATATCAAAAGGAATTATGAATAATGAGAAAGAAACAAAAATTGAATGTCAAATAATTTTTATAAATATTTAATTTCCATTTGTTGTGATAAGGAACTATCACTAAAAATACAATACTTTTTTGTTGTGTATATACTTAACTGGTATATAATATCACTGTTATGCATGCACACATACAGTTACATATACACACACACATACATACATACATATGTCGGTACGTGGGCCACTGTACCCTTTTGCCAATCTCGAATTCTCGGTGCCAAATTTGCATATATATGTATGCATGCATGTATGTATATATGTGTGTATATGTATATCTATATATGTGTATGTGTGTGTTGCATTTTTTGAAAGTAAATTAAATATATACTTTTTTTGAGTCAGAAAACATTCATTTTAGTAATAATTCCTATAACATTAAATAAAAATTATTATTCATGAGAAAATTTTCAATTTCGCTTTTTCTTGTTTGTCCTCGTTAGTAAATTCCTTTTGGTGTTTAAACAATTTTTGGTACATTCTTATGTAAAATATTTCAATATCATAAACTATCATAAGAAACTAAATGTCGTTTAGTAAACTAATTTATGTGATCTCTACAATTACGTCTTCAATTATCACCATTTTTTGGACATCAAATTATTTTGTTAATAGTTTAATAAAAACATTTTTTAAGGACAAAATTGTCGAAGTATTATACATCACAATGCATGACTATCTTGTCATACCTCTATATATAGAAATTTAACCCACATGTTTGTTCGTTTGTCTATAAATAGCAATTTATCTGTTTTGGCATTATAGGTAGAGGGTTCAAACTTCAAAAAAAAAAAAATGGAAAAACCAGTTGACGCAATTTAGATTGAATTTCGGATCTAGGTAAAATCGAAATATATCCATTTATAATATTTGATAAAATAGTTTGGGAATGGATATTAAAAATATATTTTCAAATTACCAATTACTAGCTGAATTTTCAATATATATGTGTGTGTTATATATGTACATATTACTAAATATTAATTAGAAATTAGTTAACTATTGATTACTAACTAGTACTCTAGTGCAGTATTTACTAATTTACTACTGACGATTTAGTGATTTCCCACTAAAATTGGTCAATAGCAGAGACAGGAACATACAGATTCTCTCTACTGGCTGGTTCTTTTTGCATTGTCTCTAGAACCGATGGCCTATAAAGCTGGCAAGTTACTTTGTTTTCTTTCTTTTTCTTTTTATTTTCATTTTCCATTTTCTTTCCTTAAGTAATTTTACCACTTTAGCATGCCATGCGGTTTAACTGTGAGGAAATTATTTCTAAAGTGGAAATTATGTCAGCAATGACCCAACGTATATGAAAAGATTTCATTTGAAAATTTCCTAAAATTGACATTCTATAGATACCTGTGTCTAAATTCAATGTACAGCATTAGGATCGGTATTTGGACCAACCAAAGAAGAATGTGCATAAGATTATGACAATATCCTCCAATTCGATCCGTAAACAGCCTAGATATTGGACATAGCTCGAAACATGACAAATAACTGTCCTACTCTTCGTCAAAATTGACAAATAATTGTACTGTGCATCTACAGGTTCCCTCATCCAAAAAGTCAGGATAGTGTCAAAGCTTGGCTCTATCCCTTTGCATTCGAAACGGCAGGAATGCGCCTAGACTTTGATCTATACTCAGTGGACAATCATTCTAGTTTTCCTTTTTCTTTTCTTTTATTTAAAATCATGTAAAACGTGTATATAGATACTTGAAGAACACCACAAAAAATGAATGGTCAATATTGATCTATTAGTACCGTACTATATTTTAGGATCCCCCCTCATAGTTTACCTCTCAAGAAAAAGTTTGATGGAGTGTCAACATCATTTTGCATATTGAACTTTATCATGTTATTCCTTCAAAAAAAAAAAAAAACTTTATCTTGTTATTGTAGTGCTACAAAGTGCAGACTTCACATTAATGGTGCCTGACTTAATATACAGCAATCTTTTCTCACTTTTTGGATGTAACATAAAAGGTTTGGCACACAACATTACATTTCAGATTTAAAAAAAAAAAAAAAATCCAGCGTAAACCCCTTTTCGTAGCATGGACGGACAAATCTGAAAAATTGGGGTCAATTAATGATTTTATGAGGATGTTGATATTTGACAAGAGTTGGATTTCCAAAATTAACTGCAATTACAAGACAATGGACTACTAAACCAATTCTTAGCATGTGGATGTACAAATCTAACTATTTAGTTTGCATTAGCAAAAGTAGATGTATGCACCATCATGTGATTAAAACAGAAGAAAAAAAAAACTTTAAGAATGTCGAAGTTATTTCGGCATTTTTCTTTTCTTTTGCAACCTATGTTGTGGGAGTATGTCATCGGTATCAACTTCTAAGCACCTATTTTTTGAGAAAATAAGCTGTCTGCTTACCAGGTGACGACCGGTCTGATCAAGAATTCCAGATGCTCCCGAAGCATAATTAATGCCTTTAGTGATATCCCGGCCTTTTGTATTTGCAAATGGAGGTATGTAGCTGTCAAATCCAAGGAGCTCACCTGCCAGAAAGAGACGTACACTTTCTTATTCATACCACGAATTATTGGATCTGGTGTGCAACCGCAAGGACAATTGACAAATTTGATACACCTTCTGTACCATTTTTTTGTCATATTTGGAAATTTTAACTTTTTAAAAATAATAGTCTGATTGTAGTGTTTGTACTTCTTTTTTTAATTTTATCCCAATAAATTTAAAATTTAAATTTAAATAATAACATGCATATGATTAGAAAGAAGGGTTATATTAGAAAAAGAGACAAAAATGTGTTTTAATTTTTTTAATATGACAATTGTTTTGAAATATTACAAAATAAAAAATATGACACTTTCAATGATACGAAAAGAGTAGTTTAGATCAATCCCACTAAATTTGAATTGATCTCAACCGTTGACTTAAAATTTATTGAGTTGATATCGGCCGTCGAATGGCCTATACGGTTGTACCTAAAACTGCAACGGGTCCAAATCCCAAATTGTTGATGTTGATGTATAACATACAGGGCTGAGGGCACCGATGATTTTCGTTGAGAACAGTTCTGAATTGAATTATGTAATATTTTTTGAATAAAATATTAGTCTACATAAACTATTTATAAAACTTAACAACAGGGACATAATTGTTATATATAGGATCTATATAAATAAATAGTAACCAAATATCACACTCGTATTATAAAGATGTATAAAAAAATTTACATAAAATTATACAATGTTTAAAAAATATTACACTGTTCCCGCTCCCATAACATACGAGATGGCATGCACTACCTGTTTGCCGCCTATGGGAAAATGTCTATAAGAAAAAAAGTCTTTTGAAAGACAATATATAAACAAAAAAATTCTATAATATATAGAAACAGTGACCAAGTCAAGAATTTATGATAACAGCAGTGACTCGTGAATATTGAATTAATTCTTTGAGAGTCTTAAAAGGATTCCGGAAAGCAAAGGATTCCGGAAAGCAAAATTCGGGGAATTTTTAGGGCGAGGGGGGGTGGGAGGGGTGATATACGTCATTTTAGTCAAAATAGCATGGGGGCAAGAGAAGGTCTTTTTACAAAAACTTCAAAACTTAACAGAGAGAGTTAAAAGAAAATTTTAAAACTTAGGGGGTGCAGCTCTTGGTCGCCTGCTGCCTCAGCCTCTAATAATAGATAGGATAGGAAAGAGATAGTCACCAATGAAGTCTGCATGATTTCGACCATTGGTGAAGCGACCAGTTGGACCTTCTGGGAAATCAATGCCGTAAGGTGGATAATTTGCCCTGGCAGTGGTGTTCAGGTGATTATTGTTGCCATTGTCATCTTGTGAGTCTCCAAAAATGAAGTAGCAAGGGACCTGTTGTTCGCCTAGGGCAAATGGTTTCAAGAAACAGACAACCACTACATTAATGATGGATAGGAGAAACCATTGCCTGGCTACAAAAGCCATGAATGCAGATGACAAGAAGAAAAAGGTAATGGTAGGTTTAGCAAGTCAGAGGAAAAGGCAAATATGGAGGCACCAAGGATGCAGAGCGAGAGCCAATATTTTATACAAGGCGGAAGCACTATTGTAATTGGTCGATTCTGTGGACTGAATTGGAACTCGTCATTTCTTAAACAACTGAATTTTGTACGTGACTGTAAAAAGTATTTTTCCGGTCATTTTGTTTGTGCATGAAGAAAACTTTTTCAGTGTACATACTATCATTAAATACAAAATTTGTTTTTATATGATGAATAATAGTACAAAAATTATAGATAATGGCTGTGCTGCCGTTCAAATTTGTAATAGTAGTGTTTCAGAGATAATCATGACGTTGAACCAATGATATATAGTATTCTTGTGTACTGTACAGCTATAGTTCATAAAAAATGAATTCAAATGAAGATCAGTTATTTATTTTTACATATCAAAAGTTTGAAGATTTTTCATTTATTTTCAAATAACACTTAATTTATACCGACTTTAAGAAATTTTCAATAGAAAAAAAAAAAGAAAAAAAAGAAAAAAAAGTTGGGGACTGGGGTAGCAATTACCCGCCCTCGATTGGACATGGCTCCGCTCTGATTCTGCCAACCTTTATCGGGCACCACAGCCCACAATCATGGAGAAAGTAGCTACCAGCTGGATTTTTAATATTTAATTGGCCTATGCTTTAACCTTTTACTGGAGCCAGTTGAATTTTTATTGTGCTTTGAAATCCGACAAGGAATATTAAGAAGTCGGGTGCAACGGTTTTGCACATCACAGGATTCACATCAATGTCCAATGCAGTGCTGCATGCGAAACCTATGCAACGGAATGGCCTTCTCATCTTAAACAAGTTTCCGGAGTTGGATGCAGCAATATAAGATTATTCATAACACTGTCCAATGATGTACACCGTCTTCAACAACCATAGATTGGACGCCAATAAAGGATTAAATTCCACTTTGAATTGTATATCGGGTATTCAAATTTTATGTGTAGTAAAAAAAAATTTTTAAAAAGGTGTTAGAGCACCTTTTTAATTTAGTTAAATCTATATACCTGCTAACCGCTTATATAGTCTCTTTAAAATCCCCCTCCTTGTAAAATAAAATATAATAGATTATATTATAAAAATGTTATAAAAATTATGTACACCATTCTCTTTAGGCTCACTTCTCTATCAAATAAGATATATTAGATTATAGAAATGTTATCAAAAATATGTACACTATCCTATTTAGACTCCCCCTTCTTGTGAAATATGATAAATTAGGTTATAAAAATGTTGCAGCAAAAAATAAAAAATGTACAGTGTCTTCAATATTACTCTGTAACCTACTTTGTTTGGATTGAGTGTTTTTTTTTTGACAAATTATTTTTGTTTGTGGAATTTATGGTAACAAACTTCAAAAATAACTCTAAAAACACATAATTTCGAATACAACTTATAAAAATAAAACTAAAACTAAAAAATTAAATAACAAATATAACAAATCCTATCACCTATTTTTCTTCTATTCACTACCCATGACATACCACTACCTACCATTATCCATGTCCTCCTCCCTCCTCTATTGCCTCTGCCCCTCCCCCTTTGCCTCTTACTCCTCCTCCCTAGGGCTGCAAACGAATCGAGCCGCTCGCGAGCGGCTCTAGTCGAGCTCGAATCAATCTCGACTCAAACTCGATCAATATCGAGGTCGAGTCGAGTTCGAGTTGGCTCGAGTCGAAATCGAGCTTGAACTCGAGCTCAAAATATTAAGCTCGTTAGCTCGCGAGTCGTATTTTTATTTTAAGTATATATATATTTTTTATTTTTTTATTTTAAGTATATATAATTTATATATTTTTTATTTTAATAGTAAAATTACATATATATTCTTAATATTTTATTATTTATTAAGAAAAAAATATTATTTTATTTATTTTTTAAAAAATAAAATAATTATTTTTTATTTTTTTCGAGCTCGAGCTCGTCGAGCTTAAAATTGTCAGCTCGTCGAGCTTAAAATTGTCAGCTCGTCGAGTTCGAGCTCAAGTTCGAGTTCAATGAAATTATGTCGAGACACGACTCGATTGGGTCAAAACTCGACTCGATTAGGTCAAAACTCGACTCGATTCGACTCGACTCGTTTGCAGCCCTACTCCTCCCTCTTCTTCTTCCTCCCCTTTCCTCTCCTCTCCCTTGCACTACTGCCCCCAACCAAGTCCTTCCCCCCTCTTCTTTCCCTTTTGCTTGCAACCAAAATGTCACGAGAAATCTGGTTGCCACCAGAAGGGGAAGAAATAGGGAAGGGAGGTCAATGAGAGGCGGGAGAAGGAAGGGAAGAGGAAGAGTGAGGATGGAAGACGGAGGAGGGGAAGGGAATAGTGACGACAATGGAGGAGGGAGTAGGGGAGGGTAATGGTCTATTTTAAAACAAATTTATAAAAATATTTTTAAATTCTAAAAATACCTCAAAATACATTCTAAAAAATACAGAATTCAAATGAATAATCTACAATAAAAATTTTTTACATATATCGATACAGTAAATTTTTTTGAAAAATAGCCCCAAAAATATCTAATTCATATGGAGTTTACAGAGATATTTTAAGTTTCTAGTTGAATATGTTTTATGCTCAAATGCTCAATATAATTCCAATTATAAATTATTGGCACCACAAGTCAGAACATATTACAAATGGAAAGGAATAAGCATTCCATGATGTAGAGGTAGATGCTTTTTTTATTTTTTAAGCAATGTAGAGGTTGATGCTTGTTAGCCGTTATCAAGTTACTAATAAGACTCATAGTCAATTTTGTCTTAAGTTACGGAACATATTATTAATATTAGTAGTTATAAGGGCAAAGTATGTGTGGGTCATTAAACATTTCAAAATTTTCATTTCGCCTACAAAATTATTTTTCGTATCGAATATCCCACCGAATTTCTAAATGTTCTTCATCTTGATCACTCCATTAACTCTAACTGCTAAAATGGATAGAAGTTAGTCCATTTGACAGGCCCGCCTGCTTTAAATAGATAATTTGGACATTTTGCCTGAAACCATCAGACTCTAGCTCGTTTGGGAGGACAGATTTGGTGAGAAAAGAAAGAACTAAGAAAGAAAGTGAAATCTTTTAGCATTTGGGAGTTTTAATAGCAAAGAAATAGAAAGAAAAGGAAGGATGTCACGTCCTTTCAAGTTATAAAAATCCTAAGCCCAAAATTAGGCGGAAAGCGTGAGAAAGGAAAGTGAATTAAATAAATATTTTAATATATCAATTTTGCCTTTATAAAGATTGTAATATAACATTTTCCTATTTTATGTGAATGTCAAGTTTCAAGGGTATTAATGTAAAATAGAATATTTTCTTTTTACTTTTCTTCACTCCCAAATAAAAGATAATCACTTCATTATCTTTCTTTGCAAAAACTCCCAAACAACATGAAGAGAATCTCTTCTTTTCTTTTCTAACTTAAGCTTTCTCTTCCTTTCTATTCTCTCCCAAACTAGCCATTAAACTTTCAGCTCCCCATTCGATGACCCATTTCTTGTTTATCTATTTTCTCTTGGAATCTAACTCAATCATTCTCTCCAAGCCTTAATAGTTTCTTTTGTAGTTTTGAATTTTTTCTAGTCTCTTGTACATACAAGTGAGGTTGGGGCAACTTACATAATTTTTGTTTCTTTTTTCTATTGGGAATCTTTAGAAGGAAACTCTTTAAAATTTGTGGTGCTCTCGTTTAGTCTGGCTGTCAAGATTTGAGTGTTTTCTTTTCAATGCAATCCATTGATTATTGGCGTTTCTTTAAACCAATGACATTGAAAAAACAACCTTGATCTTAGGGATTAATTTTTGTACTAATGATTTTAACATTGAAAATTTCATGGGTTTCAGTTCTAAGAAGTATTACACTCTTTTGGACGTGGCTACTAAACATAAAGCAAAAACCATGTACCAGCAAATAAGTAGGTGGGCTTCATACAAAACATTCAAATTGTCCATTGAGAGGCGTTAATTGTCGTCTATCAAAAGTTAATTGAATGGACAGTATGAAGCACTCAAAGTTCAATGTGCTATTTGACCTGAAAAATATATAGTTCAGTGAATGAAATAAGAATCTTGAAAACTCTACTGTGTACTTTACCCTAGTCACAATTGAGGAAAAATGAAAAGCCTAATTGGACGATTGCTTTCTAGGGTGCTTTTAGAGAATATAATTGTAATGCACTTTTCAATGAATATATACGTGACATGGAGTGGTAACTGGGTAACGTGTTTAAAAATTTTCAAAAACATACCTCCATCCAGATATAGAGTATAACTCAACGCGTACTAAAGCAAACAACCACTAGCAATTTTTTGGGGGTGTTCTCGGACTGATTATTTCACTTGACTTCAAATTCTGATGCTACATAATTCATGTTTTTTGACGTTCGTTCTCTTTCGTTTGTGTGCATAGATTTACATTTTTTTTTTATAGTGAAAAAAATGTTGGAAGTCCTGAACTTAAATAAGAGTAACTTTTGCTCATTCTAATTAATTAGCTTTTTATAAAATTTACAACTGACAACTGCCTTTCTTGTAATAGTAAAACTCACAATTGCATGTATAATCATTTTCAATCACCCGATTACCTTCATAAATCCATTATTAGGTCTTCGAAACATGCCAATCCCAAAAGGACACCTCTTAAAGTGTAAACCAATAATGTCCTTGGCTAATGCATCACATATAAAGTGAATTTTAGTTTTATGCACCGAGTACACCCAATAATGTCATGGGCTGAAGCCTCATATAATTTATCTCACCAGAGTATAGTAGGGAGTTTTTTTTTTTTTTTTTTTTTTTTTTTGTCGACGGAGTGGGGTGTCCGGGTCAAGTCCGTAAAGGCGGCCCGACTAATCCCCACTCCGGCCCGGTCTAGCGCCCCAACCAGACCCAGCACGTTAGATGCACGGCGAACTGATGTTGCTGCGGAGCTTCGACCCCAGGACCTAACGGTCCCGAGGAAGAGGCGCCAACCACCAGCCCATTCACGTGGGGGCTAGTAGGGAGTTTGTTAGGCGGAGAATTTCGACATAGAAAACTTT